TACAGCGAGACTGACCGAGTGAGGGAGAGCTATGCGTGTGTGTGTGAGGTTGCGGGAGCGGGCGGTGTCCCGTGTTCGGTGCCGCGTGCTAGTTGAATGGCGCGCGATTTGAATGTACTTCAATTACTTCAATGTACAGAATATTCCTCCGGCGGGGCAATCCGCATATTTGCAAATCCGTGTCTGCTAAATCCGCGTATGTTAAGGGCCGATTGTATTATGAGGAAGTTAGTTCATTAAGATCTCTTATTGTTATATACGTAAGTCACTCGTTTGACAATTATAAACAATTAACTCACTATGTCGTATCCATCTCCCCACTCTTTATCTCGAGTATCCCTTAGGTCAATGATTATTATTATTATTATTATTATTATTATTATTTTATATATATATATATATAAATATATATATATATATATATATATATATATATATATATATATATATATATATATATATATATATATATATATATATATATATATATATATATATATATATATATATATATATATATATATATATATATATATATATATATATACACACACACACTCTTTAACATATTTCATTTAGAGGGATCATCAAGTTCTCTTTTTGTTGCCAATCAGGGGCACAGACATTATCCCCCAATTAATTAGCTTAGCGATAATACCTGAGTGAGTACTATCACCCGGCAGGGTTGACAGTGCTGAGCCGCTAAAATAGCGCTCTATTGGCAACATCGTTCACTATTACCCTAGCAATATTTATTGGGTTGAAAATTTCACCCTGAATGGTTCCCATATTACCCATATAAGGATGCAAGGTCCATCTCAACATAACTCTAGATTGCTAGTAAGACCGGAAGGTCAGTATTCCGGAAGGAACACCAAGTCTAGCAGCCTCGCTAAAGTTCGCCTGGAAAGGCTGAACCCACTACTGAGGACATCAATAAAATAAAGTTATGAAAAAAAACTCAACTCTGGTCTTCATGCTGAGAGCAATTAGAAAACCCAGGGCGGAAGCCCAAAAGTTTTTATGAACGAACATAAGAGTAGGAAGAGAGATAGCCACATGGTATTCATACAGTGGTCCCTCGGTTAACGAACTCAATTCGTTCGAGAGGGTCGTTTGTTAACCGAAACCATTGTTTCAATGGGATATTGGGTAATTGGTTCCAGCTCACAGAAAAGTATACAGTGAACATACAGATTAATGTAGGTGTTGAACAGCAAACACGTAGTGTAGCAACTCCCTCCCAGGTGTTAGGAGGGACCTCGTGGTGTAGTAATTCCCTCACAGATGGTGTTATGGGGGGCCTCACGTGATGTAGTAATTTCCTCACAGATGGTATTATGAGGGACCTGACATGGTGTAGTAATTCCCTCACAAATGGTGTTATACAAGTGAGGTGTGGTCCCAGGCCTTTCTATCGTAGACGGATTAACACATCGCTGGTTCTTGTTGGATCTCACGGGCAATTATCACTGGGTACTTGGGACCTCACTGTATGAAGTTTAACATGGGTACGACTCGGCTGTTACTGTTGAGTTGTTCTCACTGACTTAAGCACTGTTCACCTCTGTTCAACACTGGTTCCATTCCTTTCCTAAATAAAATTGTAACTTCTGTGCGTGTTGGTACCCAGGAAAGTCATTAGTATGGACGTGAAAAGGAGAGTGATATGAAGGGTGGGGCAGGTGAGTGTCAGGAGTAGGTGCATAGTAGGAGCGAGGTAGCGGTGGTAAACCACACTACAAGATAAAAAAAAATTAACTGGTGAGTTATTAAATTTAGTTTCATTTATTATTGATGTTAACAAGTGTTTATATAAATATAAAAGTTAAGCGTTGTCACCTCACGGCAGCTATTTTTTGTTGTTTTGTTATCGTTGCGCTGGAGCTGTTTGCTTGCTGCTTAATGTAGACTTTTTTGTATGGAGATATCAGTGGAAAATCACATGTATTTCTAAGTACAGTAACTGCATTTTTTCTAATGCTAAAGGCCTATTTTGGCACATTTAATCATTATTTACTTATTCTGTAAGAAAATAGTAGTACAGTGGTCCCTCGGTTAACGAACACAATTTGTTCCAGAAGTTCGTTCATTAACCGAATCCATTGTTTCAATGGGATACAGTGGTCCCTTGGTTAACGAGCACAATTCGTTCCAGAAGCTTGCTCGTTAACCGAAACCATTGTTTCAATGGGTTTTTGGGTAATTGATTCCAGATCACAGAAAAGCACATACAAAGTAAAAAAAAAATGCAATAAAGTACACTTACTTTGAGGTGTGTATGTAGAAGGTTCCTGGTTGATGATGCTGGGAATTAGAAGTAGGGGTAGAGGAGAAGAGAAGGAAGTGGGGGGTGGAGGAGAAGGGAGAAGAGAAGGAAGTGGGGATGGAGGAAAAATCACATTCCAGGGGACCGATGCTTGATGCAGTCATTTCTCCAATAAAATTTTAAGTTTACTAGGTCTAATTCAAGATTATTTTATTTAAATCAACACTGCACTGTGCTATATATTGTCAATATGTTAAATAAATTTCAGAATGACCAATAATTGTACTGTAAAAATGTAAATATACTCTCAGTTCAAGAGAGCCACAAGCAAGATGTTTCCTTCACTGAACAGACACACAAACTGACGCCTTGGTGGGTGAGTGAAGTGGCTGATGGGTGCACCAAAAACTAGTTCCCTGTACTGCAATTACCGTATGTTAAATAAATGTTAAAATGACTAATAATTTTAATATAAAACTTTGAAAAATATTGAATAACACAACCTTCTTGATATTTACTCAAATGGAAACGAATATAAGCCCTAGAACCGATTACTGTATTGGCAGATTAAACTTCCAGCTGGTGAGCAGGCCGTTTTCGTAAGAATATCGTTAACCGAATTTTTGTTCATTAACCGAAATGAAGATTCTTACGGAAGGTCATTCGTTAACCGAGGGACCACTGTATAGGCAATGACCGTTATATACTCAATCAGTTTCACGATGCTAATAAATTAACACTATTTACCGCTATGTGATGGCTGAAGATCAGTTATACGATGGTCCCTACCTGAATGCTTTTCCTTTATTGTCGCAATGTTCTGAGATATGATGACACAATATCAAAATGGTGTAACACGTGCGACCCGTGCGGGATGTTCTAAGCCACATTACAGACAGTACTGTAATGATGCGCACTTGGAGCACAGAATCCCAAGTTTTTCCGACTTCTCTCCTTAATTTTTCCCAGTAAAGTCGAATATCCCAAAACTGGAAATTGCAGATCGTTAAACAACAAAGGGTGTTTTAAATGACTAAACCAAAATATTGCTAAGTAAACTATTGTTAAACGATTGATACCTGTATACAGTAGGCTCTCGTCAATAATGACTTCCACAATAACGTTTTCGACAATAACGGTAAATTACAATAGATAGCCATTTTCGATAATAACGTCTGGATTCTCTTGAATAACGGAAATTTCGCGGGAAGCGTCCGAGCGCATCAATGATAGCGTTTGTTTGCCGCCATGTTGATGACGTAGTTGTCCACTGCGCCTCACTCTCACGCACAGTGGAATACAGCGCTGTGCCCACGTGTGAGATTTTCACCACTACAGTCAACCCTCGCTTTACACGGTCCCACATTCCGCGTTTCCACGGTACCCTGCCGAAACAGGAATGCTCACATTCTGCGGTGCATGTACCCCTTTACGCGGAGAGCGGCTGGCGAGCCGCGCCATTTTTGGATTCAAACCTCCCGCCATCCGCCATGTTGTGTAAGCGGTGTGAGCATGGTGCGCACAAGGTCACCCAGTCATCAGAACATTACCGAGTTCTTCACCCGCCACCCACCACAGCCGGCCCAAGTCAGTGATAGTGATAATTATAGTGAGGATCTGGACTTATATGGACTTTGAGGGGTTTGACAAAGAGGCCCTGCAAGCCTCTGTGGTGGATAGTGATACAATTCATACAAGTGATACAGGTGAGGGCCAATAATCTGCCCTCTGCCTCGAAACCAAACCGCCCATCCCCGTGTGCCCAGCCATCTTTTCTACTAATGTAAGTGTTAAAAAACCTAATATTATTGATATTTCTCTTAATTATTAATTGTGTGTGCATACCATCATAAAGTTAAGATAATATTTTTACTACAACATAGTTGTGTGTCGTCAAAAAGTGGAGTTTGGGGGTCGGCCTGGTCTCTATTTCAATTAATCCCATATGTTGTTCACTTTACGTGTTTCTCACTTTCCGCGGTACCCTGTGGGTTGAATTAACCGTGTAAAGTGAGGGTTGACTGTATAACCAATGGTTGTTGGGGTCGGTGATCAATAATGGCTTCTGCATTTTTGCCTGTGGGGGCTAGGGGAGGTGGTGGAGGGAGTGATTTGCCACCTGAATGACAGGGAACTTTTAAAGTGAGGAAATTGAACTGTCCTGAGTCTACAGTGCGAAATATTAAGAGGAACTTAGAGGAGACCAAGAAGAGTATTGTGCTGGCTAAAAATATTTCGGTAGTGATGGAAATGCGAGGCGAGCTATGAATGATAAAGGCAATAGAAACAGGTTGTTAGTGATAACAGAGCATTTTCTTGTGAAATGGTTATCTTGTAGAATGAAAGACAGTGCAAGTGTTAGTGACCCTCAGATATGGAACAATCATCACACCAAGCACCTCAAAAACTAAGTGTTATATTACTCAAACTCTTTATTTTGATGATTGAATAACAATTCTTTTTATTTTAGCTAACAAAAAGTGTTAGGAGGGCTTCAAGGGGAAAAAATGGGTGAAATTCTTGTGGCGGCTGCACCAATAAACCCTTTTTACATGTATTTTAATGTCACACAAATAACGTTTTCGCTAATAACGGTGTTTTTCAGGCACCTATTAAACGTTATCGGTGAGAGCCTACTGTACAGTATTTATTCTTTCTGAATAGCTGAATTGATAAATCTATTATGGATTGATATTCCAAAGATATTGTAATACTGTAAATCTATTTTCAGTTTGCTTTGTTCTCTGGTTGGCTTATATTACATCAACAAGATGGGCCAGGCAAGTACTACCCCAGTCGCACCTTCAGTGACAAGCTTCAAGAAGAAGAAATAAAGGTTTATGCTTAGTTCTTAGGAAGTAATCACCAAGTCCTCACTTCGCCCAAGTTCAAAGTGATAATCCAAACATTCATATTTTTGTATAATTCCATTCCTTTATTGTGTGGTTTACTGTTTTTGTGTGTTAAAACTAGGTGGTTTGGTAAAGAAATAGTGATTTATACTTTAAGTTTTGCAAATCCTCACATGTATTTTATAGTTATTAATGTGATTGTAGTACAGAGTGCAATACAACACCCTTAAATGAAAAGTGGATTTAAAAAAGAAGAGTATTTGTAATAGATTATAAAAACTTGCATTATATCATGGCTGAATCTATGTATATCCTACTGACATGTTCTGCCCATTCATTTTTTGGGGTTTATTTACCCCATTTATTGACATGGTTCTTATTTTTTTCTCATAAGAACTGGTAATAGAAATCCTTAGGTCTTTCTTCTCAATGTTTGATTGTGCTCATTTTCGTTAATTTACAAGTACTGTACCTGTATAGTGAATTCCTGGTTGTGTAGTAGAACATTTGCATTGTGTAGTACAATACTCTAGGGGCAAAGTAACCAGCATTGTATCACATTTTGTGACATGGTTTTCCTAGTGTAAAGCTAATAAAAAATTTACAGTTGTGTTTGCAATTTGTTTTCATTTCATTGACATTTCAAAATTTTGTGCCCCTTTATTAATACAGTACAGTATATAAATTTTAAGAATGGACTCATGGCTTGTGATAGTATTCAGGAAGAATAGTAACAGTTATCTCTCTATTTTATTTGTATTGACAACAGAAAGAAATTAGAATGGTTTTTAATACATGACCTCTTATAAAGTCGTTTTGATTAAAGTCATAGTTTTGTCGATGAAATGGGTCCCATATCTGTATAAAGTTATGTATTGTTCCATAATAATGTCATTATGTACCATTTCAACAATGTTAGAAAGGTGAACAGGTATCCAAATTGGTTTTCTTTTCAAGCAAATTAATTGGGGCTCAACAGTTTTCATAGCAGCCTATCTAACTCATGCGTTACTTGGTGTTAGTTTTGAGAGATTTTTATTCTATTTGTAATTTTCAAATCATATTTAAGATTTATTCTTCTAAAAGATTTTATTTTTTTATTTTTTTATAAACTAATTGTGGGGAACAAAAAAATCTATACTAAATGAGGATAATGGAAACATGGAATATATTTTTCAGAATAAATAATTTTTGTTTTAATTACTTATGACTTTAAATGTGTAGAATGTATTTTATTAAAACTGACAGTGTAGAATGAATTTTGCCCAATATAGAATTTCTCTGGAATCCAGCCCCTCCATTTCCATTAATTCTAATGGGAATAATTAATCTACCTATCATCATTTTACTTAAAAATACACAACCCTGACACTAAACCATGACACCCTGTACTTTTGAATACATACGTGAATTAGAATCTGAGAAATTATAAAGCTCTGTTTAATTTTCAGGATATCAACTAGGGCTGTGTATATAATAGTTAATCCATTTCTTTCTTTGTGACAAAATAATGTAGAGAGGATGATTGTGGACTAGAAAAGACAATCCTAGCCAGAACAATAATGTTCCCATAATTGTGATTTACGAGTCCAGAGGAATGGGTTGGTTAGTTTAAAGCAACTTTCCGGATTGCGTAACATTTCTCTTTGCTTGTTTTATAGCACTTCTTTTTTCTTTTTGCAGAAGGGAAATTTTGTTGAAGCCCAAGTTTCTCTAAATACAGTAGAAGTCCAAAAATCCGGACTGCTTGGGGATTGGGTCGGTCCGGATTTTCGGATTTTCCGGATTCTCAGGCAGTACTTTTAAAATTAAAATTTAAGGAGGAATAAAGAAGAGATGAACAGGTACATTTTGATAGTTTATTCATTAGCAAATATAGCATGCTTCATTTATCAAAATGAGCAGTTTTAATGAAAAAGCTGTGAATTCTAGAATTTTATTCTTTGCCTTTTTGATATCATAAATTGTAGACTTTCCAATGTTGTATTTTCCATTAGAACAGTATTGCTCACACCACGTACTAGTTTCTTAATTATTTCAAGTTTGTCACTCAATTTCAACGTGTTCTTCTTTCTCTTCACACAACGAAGTTTATCTACTTTAGGAGCCATTATTATGGGCTTGTACAGTAATCTGTAAATGGAAAGAGTAGGACTCAAAATATTGTTCTATTCATACTGTGCTTGATATAATGCATTCACGGAAATGTAATATTTTTGCTAAAATGACGTCCGTATTACAGTGGAAAGTGGGATCAAATCGTGACGAAAATAATGACTTTCGCTTTCTTCCGTTCAAAAGATGTTACCGTAATCACTTTTCGAATGGTTTAGTTAAAAAACTGTTGTATTGTATTACAATAATATTCTATCCTAATTGACTTGAATAAATACTACGATACCATATTTCTGAATATTTTCATTAAAATCCATCAAAATCATTTTCTTTGTCATCGTCTGCAGCACCAAACAGCTTCTCCCAGTCCTCTCCTTGAACAGGACTAGAGGGTACGTGTTTTTCGAATCGTTTTCAGTTAAAAAACTGTTACACCACATGTATATTTTACCTAAATCCAGAACTCGTGCTATACACGGGTATATACGGTAGCTAACCATTAATGGTAAAAAAAAAAGTGAGACTGAGCGTATGTAAGTGAGCACATGTGAAAACATATCATCATTACTCTACATAAGAATATGAAAGCAACACTTATTTACTGCTCATATATATTGAAGGGTTAAATGTTGTACAGTAGAAGTCCAAAAATCCAGACTGCTTGGGGATTGGGTCGGTCCGGATTTTCGGATTTTCCGGATTCTCAGGCAGTACTTTTAAAATTCAAATTTAAGGAGGAATAAAGAAGAGATGAACAGGTACATTTTGATAGTTTATTCATTAGCAAATATAGCATGCTTCATTTATCAAAACGAGCAGTTTTAATGAAAAAGCTGTGAATTCTAGAATTTCATTCTTTGCCTTTTTTATATCATAAATTGTAGACTTTCCAATGTCGTATGTTTCCATTATAACAGTATTGCTCACACCACGTACTAGTTTCTTAATTATTTCAAGTTTGTCTCTCAATTTCAACGTGGTGTTCTTTCTCTTCACACAACGAAGTTTATCTACTTTAGGAGCCATTATTATGGGCTTGTACAGTAATCTGTAAATGGAAAGAGTAGGACTCAAAATATTGTTATATTACAATGGTATTCTATTCATACTGTGCTTGATATAATGCATTCACGGAAATGTAATTCAGGTATTTTTGCTAAAATGACGTATGGATTACAGTGGAAAGTGGGATGAAATCTGGACGAAAATAATGACTTTCGCTTTCTTTCGTTCAAAAGATGTTACCGTAATCGCTTTTCGAATGGTTTAGTTGAAAAACTGTTGTACTGTATTACAATAATATTCTATCTTAATTGACTTGAATAAATACTACGATACAGGTAGTTCTGCTATAACGCGATAATTGTGTTCTTGTAAAATATCGTGTTATAGAAAATCGCGTAATAGAAATAACAGGGCTTATGGAGAAAATAGGGTTAGGTGCAGATTACTCGAAATCGAAAAAATTTAGTAGTTAGCCTAACACAAAGGATAGCACAGTCTAAATAAATGTTACATTCATATCTAATAATGAAATCATACAGTAAATTTAACACTTTACCTTGAAAAAATATGAATGTAACTTGATGGGGGAGAAGGGTGATTTTGAGGTTGATAACATCGAGCTTCTCTTCAAGTGTTATATCCTTTCTTTTACGATAATCACCGGGAATTCTATCATCAGAACGCTTTTTGGAGATATTCTTCTTTACCATATTCACAGTTAATACCACAAAATTGGAGAAATAGTAAGCAAAAATCGCGTTATAGCAAACAAGCGTTCGCGTTATACAAATATTGTTCCGAATTCATAAATCGCGTTAGAGCAAATTCGCGTTATCAAAACACGTGTTATAGCAGAACTCACTGTACCATATTTCTGATTATTTTCCTTAAAATCCATCAAAATCATTTTCTTTGTCATCGTTTGCAGCACCAAAATGCTTCTCCCCGTCTCTCCTTGAACAGGGCTAGAGGGTACGTGTTTTTCGAATCGTTTTCAGTTAAAAAACTATTACATCACACGTATATTTTACCTAAACTGCGCCTGAATGAATATATTCTCGGAAATAAATAGTAGTTTTGCTGAAACGTGATGTATTTCGATGTCAAATAGGATAAAATACATGACGAAAACAAAAGACTTTACCTAAGCTTCTGATGTTCTTGAGATGTTACTCGTTTTTTTAATAGTTTTCGGTTAAAATTCTGTTATATTACAATGATATTCTATTCATACTGTGCTTGATATAATACATTCACGGAAATGTAATGTTTTTGCTGAAATTACGTATGTATTAAAGTGGAAAGTGGGATAAAATCGTGACGAAAACAATGACTTTCGCTTTCTCTCGTTCAAAAGATGTTACCGTAATCGCTTTTTGAATGGTTTACTTAAAAAACTGTTGTATTACAATAATATTCCCTCCTAATTGACTTGAATAAATACTTGAATGGAAATATACAATATTTTTGTTAAAACTACCCGCGTTTCAGTGTAAAGTGTCGTAATAATAAATGGTAAACAATTTGCCTTCGGCACTCGTGTTTCAGTTTATAGGACATAGAGCGTTTTTACTGAAGGTTTTGTTCTTCCCTTACCCTCAAAAACGTGGGTCGAACTATAAACGAGGAATATCATAAATTATCGATTTCTTGGTCAAAAAATCAGGGTCGACCGATAAACGAGGGGGGGTTATAGATGAATATATACGGTATGTTGTCACAGTTTGATTGCTCGTTTTAAAGTGGCGACCACATGGTCGCTTGTTGTCGCTGTGGCGCTCACGCATGCGCACATACACACAAAAGCCCGCTAAAAATAAAAAAAAAAATAAAAAATAAAAATAATAATAATAATTAGTTTTTCAAAAGTCCGGATTCTCGGGTGGTCCGGATTTCTGGCATCCGGATTTTTGGACTTTTACTGTACTTTGTATAGACAAGCAGAGAGAGAGAGAGAGCAGCCGAACTGCCGGATGTAAACAAACCTTAATTTCCTGCGGCTTTGTTGTTTTTTTTATGGGGATTAGCCTACCCGAGCATAGGTCACTGACCCACATTGGGGCCTGAGGGGCAAAAATTTAATACTCCTGTAATAATAATAATAATAATTCAGATAAAAAAAAAAAAAAAAAAAGCTGCCTATCTTCCTATTGGAGAAACTAAAATCGTTACGGACCACGGGAGTTTCCGGACCACAGAATGCCAGACTAGAGAGGTACAACCTGTATTATGCTAAAACAAACACTCATAAATTAACACAGCTAAAATTAAGGGACGCGAAATGGTCTGTTAACTAGTGATCAGCTGATGTTAGATGGTGGTCACGCTGGTGCCACACACTACCCGCCTTATGTCCGACTCACCAAGCACTTTCACTTTCCTCTCAACTTATTTTTTAATTACTTTATGCTATCAAAAATAGATTTTTACTCAACTTTATTTTGGCAATTCATCCTCTGAAGATGCAGAGCCCAACTCGACCAGCTCATTATCC